ACCCTCTGATTGCGAGTCGAGCGCCCTAACCACCTGACCATGCCGGGCCTGGTATTAGTTGGAACCTAGGGAGTAGTTGTTGCTTCTTAAACTTGCCACTGTTCTCTTGTCTTCAAAATATAACACAGAATTCAGGTACCTTTATGCTATCGATAACCCGGATATACTTACAAATTTCAATAACGTCGCCTTTTACCCTTATTTAATTAAGGGAAAATGAGAGATTTTAACTTATCCCAATAAGATAACCCTTCCATTCCTGGAACCATCCTAATAACCCTCAACCATTTCAAATAAATCAGTGTCTTTTTCTAAAATAAGAAAATTAAAACCGTACACAGTATTGGCAAGTGAGGAGGCCAGGTGGTTAGGGCGCTCGACGTTCGAATCCCCGTCCCACCAAAACATGCTCGCCATTTCAGCCGTGGGGGCGTTATAATGTTACGGTCAATCTGTTGGTAAAATTAGGGACGGCTAGCGCAGAAAGCCCTCGTGCAGCTTTGTGCGAAATTCAAAACAAACCAAACCAAGTGAGGTCTAACTAGTGATTTGTATAAAGAAACAAGAGCATCAATATTTTCATAGATATAGTCTAAACGTCAGTTAGCATTGCTACTATCAAGTATTTATAAGTATTGAAAGTACTGGCCGTCTGCCATAGGTAGGTCAAAGCTAGTCAATAATGCCCCTACATACTGTGTCTGGAATGGCGAACTTATGCATCATCAAGTAAACCAACTTGCAGAGGTTGCAAGGTTTAAAGAAAAAGGCCATTCTAGTACAACACCAAATCACTATAAAGTATGTTTTGAGTTATGCTATTAAGGTATGGTATACCACAAAATATTGCTCCCACTTTAAGCTCTGGTTGCGTAATAAGAATGACAGTCAATCCCCATAGTGTTTGGTGCTGCTAACTGTCTTTCTTCTGATTAGTAGTTCAAAATTAGGGACTGCAGCAGATAGACATAGTTTACCACTAAAATACAAATAGGATTCTGCGAATTTATGTGTATAACTCTACTCTAATTTAGAAAGACTGATTCTGTATTGTGGCGTCTGGTGTGTCAGCTTTGTAATCGTTTGTAATTTTATTATAATGAAAAACAAAAAGAAATGGTATTTTTCCACACACTAAACTAACAAACCTCCACAGTATTTCATTTCCCGAATAACGGTTGTTTTACAACTGTTATATGTGTAATCTTTTTAGTACTTAATATTAATCAATGTTGTAAACAATATATGTTTTTGTTGTTCACATGATTAAAAAACTGTTATGGTCAGCGAGCATTTTTTTGTTTGGTTTCAAAACAGATCCAAATAAATTTTATAACCATACGAATGCTGTGAGTGTTTTGTATGTGAAGTACTTGTGATCGTAATCGACGCTAGTTTAGCTTTTTCGAAAACACATTCCTGGTCAAACGGCTCGCCCAATAACTTTGAGGGCACTAATAGTGGGTGACTTATTACGAATTCTAAGAACTTGTAAGTGAAAGCAAATAATTTGTAAATAAATGTCAACTAAAATACATCTGCCATATCCAATGTAATAGAATATACTTAATTTTTGTGAGTTCATTTCGTCGATGTATTATGTATGTATTTATGTACATTCGCACATATTACGTCACAATAAACAGCAAAGTAGAATTTGGGTTGATTTAGAATATTTAGCATTCCGGTAAATAGTGGGCATGAGCCTAGAAAAGTCAGGAAAATCCCCATTCATGTCCGTTATTAATATGTTTTAGCACAATCATTGTATTTTGAAGTTAGGTAAGATCTAATATTCATTTATAAATCAAAATACATTTTATTGTTTACCGTCAGGTCCTTGTATGAAGATCGTTTTCTGTAGTATCGTTGTCTTCTTTTCTTTTTTTTTTTGTTATATTTTGAAGCTGTATTTTATTACCAGATTACAAACTAAAGTGGTGCTAATATATATAGAATTGAGAAAAAAAATGAAATATCATTAAAAATCTGGAATTTTGCCTTGAAAGTCAAGGAAGCATATTGGAAGGGATGTGGCCACCCTGACAGCATAACAAGAAATTTTATATGTTTTATATTTGTCTATTTCTACACAACGAACCGCTAAGGGCAAGAAAACACTTGTCTTTGAAATGTGTACAAATAGTTTGAATTCAGAGCTCTTGGGGTATCTTCTCCCTATAGCAGGAGAAAATATTGTATCGTAGAAGAATTGAAAATATGTTTAGCAAATTTATTTGTAATATAAATGAGAAATGTCCACAGATATCTCTTCGTCTTTTTCATCTTAGTTTACTAACATAATAAGCAGGGTTACAACCTCGTGAGGATTGTTGTATGAAAAGATTATTTTTTATACATCAGTTACCAAGTGAATAATCAAACACGGTGCGAAAAAAGAAGTTCACTTCTGAAAAATAAGAATATTTATGAAACTGGGCAGTTTTCCGTATCCAAGTGTTAGAAAACTTAACATTAAAATGCCCATAATTAAGTTGTTGCTTTCAACCTGAAGAGCGTGCGTAAAAGAAAAAAGAAATAATTAAACATCCACGTGACCAACTGCTTGATAGTTTGGAGAAGACTGAATGGATTAAACATCTGTTCGTTGTTTGGCGCGCCGAGCAGAAGGGCAGACAACCCGTTTCCGGTTTTTTGTTTTATGGCGGAATTTAAAGTAGACTTTACTTGCTTATGTTTATAAAGGTAAAATAACACGCAGCATTGATAGATGTTAAACATTTAATATTCAACACAAAACTGTAGCCTCCAGACACACATACAGAGGGTATTTTATGCTGAAAGTGTAAGTGTATTTTTGCAAATCAGTGTTAACCTCACTTGTGTGTGTAGCAACAAGAAATTTTGTGCTTTTTTTTTAGTAATATTCTTATCTTAAAACACAAAATATTGTCCACGGGTGTGGAGGTTATTCGAAGCAAAGAAAATAATGGAAATTGAAATTATCCTCATCATTGCATATTTAAAAAAAAAGTAAAAGTACTTCTCAACGTGATAGTTTTAGTTGTGTTAATACTGATTTACTTAAGCATGCGATTTTTCGTGGTGAAGGTACTTGTCACGTGGTTAAGAATTAAAAGGGTTTATTGTGACCTCTAATACAAACTTCTTTCTAATAATATGTGTAATTTAAGTATTACAGTTGAGATAAGTGACAGCCATGGTAAGAAGCGTACGAACAGCTTATATATATATACACACACACGAGAAATTTAGGGTGTATCAGTTTTACTGATTATTCATCTTTCAACGAACCATATCAACATATTAATGTAGTTCTTATGATTTTTTCTTTTTTTAAGCCTAATATAAACAGTTATAACTAGACGGCGTTTGTTTGTTAGTTAAGAGTATGCACAGTGTTATAATAAGAGTCACTTTGTATAAATCTGAACATTTTCATTGTCTAACTCTAGCTAAATGCTGTCCGCAATGTGCTTATGATATAAACTGTATTACAGAAACTACTGTTATATTTGTTTTGCAACACTTTTATAGAACACTTTAAAACTGAAGAGTGTTATGACATAAAAATGTCATTCAGGCACGCTTACGAAGGTGTTAGGTAAATGTTATACATGATGCTTGAGATGTTTGAAAGATGAATTTTAAAGAACGTTTTCATTTTCAAGTGGGGTTTGGATGGTGCTTCTGTTACAATGATATCG